CCTCGCTTGAAGTGACTACCACGTGAAACGCAAACTGCTTTAGTCACAGTTAACGGGTCTGCAGTTCATCAACAGACGCAGTTTCCCATCCGTTATTCATAGCTCAGACTTTGCCTGACATACTAAGATTTGTGGCTCGGATGGCATAACTGGCTCCTTTTTAGAACTGCAAGTGAGGATGCAGTGACTCTTCTTTATATGACTTATAAGGTGCTCCACCTCGTGTGAGATCAAAGCCGCCTTTACGGCTATATTAGATGCCCGGTCGTGCGCAGCACGCGTAGACGGGCTGCCTTACTTTGTCAGTCAGTGCTTCTATGTCCACCTCCAGTCGTCTGTCCTGCCATTGGAGCAAAATAGGTGGAGTAGGACAGTGCGGTAGATGCTGCACGCAAGTCTGACTCCCCGACAGTTCGACCGTCGATTTCGACGATGCCCACAACGAACTTCAGCGAGTTGAAGGCAAGTGCGGTGACTTCCGCCGGATTACAGTGAAAGAAGACCCGCGGAAAATCTACTCCTCTCTCACTACTCCCACACCGGACCCAATGTCAAGTAAAGGAAACCGGAGATGGGGTAGGGCGCAGGCACAACCCCCCAATCAACTAATTAACGCGCAAGTCACCGGTTTTGCGTACCATGGAACTCGCGACGTCGGGGAGCACATCCATTGATGCGTGTCATAAAAGAAAGTGCCAACTGGAAAAGGCAAACGCACTTTAAGTAAAACAGCATAGACAGGAGGCGTCATCAGAAGGAAGAGAATTGCATTTTATGCTCAAAATTGGAGGAAATGCATTGACATAAAATAACATGCTGATTGGTGAGGCTACTACTGCGCATAGGCGTAAGTCGACGGGCAGACAATCTTGCGAAATGGAGCAGAGGGAACACAGGTAAGTTAAAAGGAAAACATAATTCAAACTGACGGAGAAGCATAAAAAGGTATCATTGGTAAAGGAGGACGATTGTAATTAAATGCAGACGTGATGATTGTCAAATCGGACTTGATATTTTGCGACGATAAAAAGTGACGTAGCAGCTAATAAATGACTAGGAAACCTTGGAATTAAAGCGAATTCAGACAAACAGAGAGGGAGGGAAAAAAGTATATCGCAACGCACGCACACATCCGCACAAGGCGAATAAGGTGAAAGACTGTATTGAAGTAAGCCGCGGCAGCCTCCCGAGGGTTCAGTAGAGCCCAGAGTCCTGGAGTATTGAGTAGGCGACACCACCTCCAAGCACCGAGTTAGCTGAGACGTGAAAAGGATCCGCGTCGGTGCTGGAGGGCGGAAAGATGCCAGCACAGCGTGTGTAGGATGAAAGGTTGAAGGCAGCCGGTGCTGTTGTTACGACTGAAGTGGCGACGCTTGCGGGAGGAAGGAAGGCGGCTGGGATGCCTGAGTTGGCGTCTCGGAAGTTCGGCGAGGGCGTCACTCCGCCCCATGGCCGGAAGGAGAGTGAAGATTCCGACTCCGAGGATTCGTAGTCACTCAGTTGGCTGCTATTATCGTCCGGCCAACAGCCGGCATGAACATCGCAGTCGGTGGCAGTGACGGCACTGCCGTTAAAGAGGGCTCCCTTGTGGTTTTGGTTTTCGTAGTCCTGCAGGTGCCGTGGTTGGGTGGTGGAAGCAGATTCACGACACAATGAACCGGTGGAATTGTAAGTGGCAACACCAGCACCGGTAGAGACCGGTAGCCTGCTTTCCGTCAATCGTCCACTGCACGATCGTTTGCGAGGCTTTTTACCATGCAGGTCGGGTGAAGGACAGGGCAGATCAAAGAGAATGCCCGCACCATCGGATTCTCCCGCCGTGGAACACTGTTCAGCACGCGCAGTCGCGGAACGAGGAAGGAGAAGGAAGTGACGCGCCAGTTCGACAGTTAATTTCTGTTGCCGGCAGAGGACCTCGGTGAAGCAGACGAGGTCGCCAATGGTCAGGAGGTCAAAGTAATACTTGGCGTACACGGACGGCGGAACGCTGGTGTTGAACTGTATCAGGCTAAGAGTGTGGCGCTCGAGTTCATTCCTGAGAGAGAAAAAAGCGGAGAATAAAATCCAAAAGTAAGCACTGTATGCTGCCGAAATTCTGTTGACGTAAAGGGAACACCAACAGGCCACAGAATTACGCAACTGGGGGATTATATTGGGCACCAGGGAGGGGTGAGGAGAAAAAGAAGACAACCAACAAGAACTAGGGACTGTGAGTTTTGCAGTTGTTATAAGGCGGTGGTCTGAAAGAGTCAAAGATGGTAAACGACGCACATCTAGCCGTGGAGATACGCCAGCTTTCAGAACTTTACGTGCTAGCGTATTCTGAGAGACTGGGGCTAAGCAAATGAAACGGTGCTCACCATGCAAATACTGACGAAGGTCTATCAGAAAGAATCAACTGTGGCCGAAGAACGGGACTGGAAACACTATAGGCAACAGTAAAATTCAGGACGGTGTAGTGAGGTGTAAGGCTTGGTTCATAGAAGCACCACAAACGGAGTGCCAAGGGTATCTATCGAAAGAACTAAATACTCAATAGAGGGATGTCGGCGCGGAGAAAGTGTCGCCCTCCCAAACACCTCTATAGTCCATGTCCAAGTCTAAAAGACCTCGGCAACTACATGAACAGAAGCAACCACCTATTCATCGCTCGTTACTTCACTGGCCACACAGTCCTATGGCGACAGGAAACAAGAAGATTCAACGTTCGATAGCAAGCCAATCCAATCGGAAGCTTGTGACCGGAAGATAGAGCCGGATTTTTTTCCTGATGGGCAGAAAATGCCGCCTGTGCTCGCAAATTCACCCAGAGTGTGCCAACCATAGTTATGCCGTTGTTCAAAAGCCCAGTTCAACCATTGTTCACGGGATGTCTTGGTAGAGAAAAAATGGTCTCTTGCGGAACCTAAATTCCATGCCTAAAACCACCATCCCTCCGTCTGGTGCACAGGTTTAAGGTCCCAGGATTTTTTTCAGGAGGATGAGTGCCGATTGGTTGGGGAACAAATTCGCCCCGTCGCAGCAATACTGGTTAGAGTTTGTGACCTTTTCGCAGGAAACCAATTTTTCATATCGTTACCCATCCAT